AGGAGAAACATTATTCAAAATGAACATATTCATTTACTTGCTATAAAAAGTATTTACTGTTTCGGTTCTGAGTCTTTTTTTCTATCTCACACATATCACTAATAATCCCATAAGAAAAAAACAAGGAATAGGAAATAACAATGCATTTTTTGGAAAATAATTAATAACGCCTTGTTATTCTAAACATTATTTAACGATGTAAATGATGCACACAAAACAATGTATTTTTTTTTTCTCCTTTGTGTTTTTGTGGTATTTTCCAGTATTGAGTGACCCATGTGGTGCAGTCAGCTGAAATCTGCTTTTCACCAATTGTTGCATTAAGATCAGGCTGTTGAACTCACCAACCCTGTTTCAGCCTCTATTCCAAGAAGCAGCTTTTAGTTTTTTTTGACCATGTGTACATCTGTATATGTTTTGCATTGAAGGCTGTGTGTTTCTTATCCACGTCAGCCCGGTTTTACCTTGCTGGGTTGGTATCAGACTTTGCATAGTGATAACTTAATTTGTTTGGCCTGCCGAGTCCCTCAGGAAAGGCTTCCGTTGCTTACCTTATACAGTATGTAGCCAGGCTGAAAGATTGAATTGTTTTGTTTTACCAGTGTTTAGTCTTTCCAGTAGAACATGGAGGGGAGACCTTATTGCCCACAGTATGTTTTTCCAAAACAACTCTGATTTGTATCTGTGTTAATCAGCAGAGATGCTATCAGCTGTTCCGTCTAAACCTGACAGCAGTAGCTGTGTTTTCCATACACGGAGAAAAGTGGACAAAAAGAGAAACACATTACTAAAAATGTCTTAAAGGAAATTAGAGATAATTCAGAACACTGCAGCCAGAATTTTAACCAATACAAAAGAAAAATCACACTACCTCTCTGCTCACATCACTGCACTGGCCTGCATCTATTTATCCTCTCCTATATATCTATCTATTTTTAAATATTTCAGATCTGATATCAGCTGAAATGAAAGAAAATTTAACTTTACATTTAATTTGGGCCGACTTTGTATCATTGGATTTAAAAATGTATTCATTCATTCATTAATTTTTTTGTCACCTAGGGCTGGACAATAAAACAATAACAATTATCGCAATATAATATTTTAACAATATAACAAAAGTTCAATAAATATTCAATAAATGTTTGATTTTATTCACTTGAAAGAAAAACGACTGAAAAAACCTTTTACCATATTTTACTCATTTGTTGACAAAGGTTGACCAAGAAAAAAGAGTTTGAACCACAATTAACCATCAGGTTTCTTCAACTTTCACTCAGGAACAAAAATCAGCCTTTAAAAAAATACTTATCGTGATAATTATCGATATCAGAAGATATGAAGCTTTTAATCGTGATAACATTTTTGGCCATATCGTCCAGCCCTTGTGTTACCAAACTGTTTGTCTGCTTTATTTGTTTGTTTCTTTGATTACTTTTGCTGTTTGTTAATATTTTTTACCCAAGCTATTCTGATATTGTTTTGTTAATCAAGTCGGCGGCGCAACTTTGCATGAAATGTGCTATACAAATAAAATTCTTATTATTGAAATTATGATTATAACTGAGGAAAAGGGAGTTCCTGCCTACAGCGTGACTGTGTCTTGCACGTGTAAACAAACCAAAGCCACAGAATCGGGGCTGCACTAGTCTTATGCAGCCGGAAGAGATTCTTTCACTTTGTGACGAACAATACTTCTAATCTTGTCTAATAAACAAACATTGTGATTGTTTACCTCTGCAGCTGAAAAAGGTCTGCCTCCATTTGTTTCGGCATGGTTGCATTGCTTTGTTTGAGTCACAGCCTTTTTAGTTTGAACACTGACTTCAAAAGCTGGTGGGTTGGTTTTGAAATTTCAAACTTGGTTTACTGTTTTGTACCCTCCATACCCATATATCCAAAAGCCACCATTGTGTTCTGTGTATAGTGTGTACTGTGTATCTAATGCAACCCTGACTCTGTGTTCCTGTCCTGCTGTTTTTCAGATTGTGCTGTGAACGTTCACAAGAGCTGCAAGTCTCTGCTTGGTGACTGCACCAGCAGCAAGAATAAGGTAAACACTATATGTGATGGAAGTGTAGAGAAATGGGGACTAAGTAAAGCTCTAGTGCCTTAACTTACTCTGTGTTCTGTTGTTTTGCATATGTAGACTAGATATACACACAAGTACTAGGGCTGAACAATTTTGCAAACTAATGTAATTGCGTGTTTTTTAACCAATATTGCGATTTAATATGCGATTAATTTTTAAGCTCTTTACCTTCTGTATTATTCAAGATGGACAAGCAATAAATCAGTGTATAGTATGACCAACACAATATTAGATAGATTAAACATACTCACGTAGGCCAGGCCTGTGTTATGGCATTAAATGGCATTAAATAATATGATGTGACATCATCAGGTCGCCCTACCTACAGATGACAAGAAAAACAAAGTTACAGTATAGTATAGTTGTAGTATACAGTAAGCGCTCAGTGCAGAACCCACAGTTCAACCACCAATTAATGCGTCATTATTTCAGTTCAAATCTCCTAGGAGTCCATCTTTCTATGTCCCAGTAAGCGAACAAAAAATATCAATTCAAAAGTTGGCCAACGAAAATAAAACCAAGTGTGACGCCTCTCGTGTTGAATTGACAAATTTAGTAATTCTCAGACAACACCGGAGTCCCCCACCCCCGCAGCCTCCGATGCTGGTAAGCAGCGAAGTGGCTGTAACTCGGGACAGACTGGGCCTCTTTCGGACTTGTGCGTTTGGTTTGAAATGCTGTTTCACAGATATTTCCTGAGCTGACTGGTGGCTCTGTGTGTGACACAGGCGGCGATCGCCACAATACGCTTACCTTACTACACGTGTCTTTCTGTTATATACAGTCTATGATTTTTCCTGTCCGCCAAAGCGGCGGATGGCTCGAAGATTTCACCCACCACAACCACCAATTTACACGCGGGTGGCGGGTGCTACTTTCATTCCCTGTGTGACACTAAATTTCTGTAGTGTCAGCTTCTGTCAAGCTTAAGGCCATTGTACAACAACAAGTCAAGGTACAGCGTAATGTGCGACGTTGATGCTTCCTCTGCAGACTGCTTTACTCTCTCGTGTCATGTGACCAGAGCGTAATTGCAGCCTTTGCAATTAGAAAATCTCATTTTATCATATCGCAATAATATCGCAAATGCCCTAACAAGTACATTGTCACACATTGGATCAGTAGCACGGACAGTGAAGTTCAGAGTGGAAAAAAACGGACTAAAGATTAATAAGAACAAAGGCAGCATTGGGGTGACATTTGCTAGATTCCTGCTTTTTTGTTTGCTGTGTATCGGTAGTCTTGCTATAGATGCTTATGATGTCAAATTTGAATTAAATGGCATAGTTTACAGGTTAGGTTTAACCATTTGGATTGCTGTTGCAACACTAACTGTCATGCGTCATGATCAGACTGTTCATCAATTATGTATTGTGAAAGAAATGGAAATTGGTTGCATTCTTTCATTGATTTTGTAATAGAGAATTGTGACTGGATTGAAGATTTGTCTGACGTTAACTGGAAAAGAGATTTCAAAGCTTTTCTTCACCTTGCTCCATGTTTTCACTATCAACAAACACTTCCTGCACCTGTAACCACAGGTTACCCTTTATGTGGCAACAAAGCCTCCACATGCAACTGCTGCAGCACCTCAACAGAGAAGCATAAACCCACCTTTAGCAGGGAGAGTTGTGGGTTTGTTTGGGACAGGGCATTTAAGACAACTCGACTGAAGATTACATGATTATGTCCACTCTTATGAATCCGCTTATTAAACAAAGTCCTTGGTCCTGTGAGTGTCTTGTCCTGTAAAGAAAGTACTGATATAGTAAGAGTGTGCAATTGCTTTTTTCACTCAGCAGATAAAAGCTTGAGAGAATGGCCTTGAAAAAAAATGTTGTCTTTCTGTATTTTCTCCGCACAGAGAGATTCGCTACCGAGGACTGGGTCATCGGGATCTCCTAACTTTGGTAAGCAGAACATGCATGTGCAGATTGCACCCCTTGTGAATACCACTGACCACAGTATCAGTTGAAGTGAAGGGTGGATGATGCATTGATGGACTGGAAGGTGGTTTAGTCCCCATGTGTCAAATTAAAAAGCTGGTGGCCTCTCTAGTGGTTTGCAGAGGATTAAAAAGTGTGTGTGTGTGTGTATGTGTGTGCGCGCACCCACGTGTATATGTGGGTCTGGGTCTTTGTGGTGCATGTGTGTGTGTCTGCCTACACACTGAGCAAAGATGGTGAGATTGGCCTCCAGCAGGCTGAAGGCAAAGGTGATGATTAGCCATTGTTAAGAACGGTCAGGTGATTTTACCTCTGGTTCAGTACTTGTCCAAACACAGGGTAGATAAAGTAATATTGTTGTATCCATACACAAAGAGAAACAAAACAAAAAATCTGATCTTTGCTAGTTTTTTTTATGAAAGGTTGGATTAAATTTGACTCGCTAAATTGATGAGCCTCAGAATAAATGTGAGGTGTGCTTGCATTCATTATTATCAAGTGGTCCATCCCAGGAAATTTCAATTAGGGCTAATTGTAACATTCAACAGACCCTGTTACATGTGACTGAGCCCGCAGGAGACATGAGCGGCTGCAGCAGCAGCAGCTTAAGTTAATCTCCTGTTGCAGTTGTTGTTCTCCTCTGAACAGCTGGAGTCCTGTCAGCCACACCTAATTTCTCCTCATGTACTTCTTTGGTCAATCAGTAACTTGCGCAGGGGGTCGGGAAGACGGGTAGTGGTGAGAGAGAATTGAGCAAAAGTGAAGAATCATAAAGAGCGAGAAATCGAAAAGGATGCACGCCTCTCAAGAAGTTGCTAGAAGAACTCTGACGTGAAGGATCTGGGCGGGTCGCGTATAAAACCGGGCTTTGTGCTGTCCTGGTTCACACCAGTGAAGACACATCACTTATTACTTTTGCAATAATATCTACTGGTACTGTGCCGAAGACTTGTGAACTTTGCCACTCCTCCTGGTTTGAGACATTCACCATGGAGGTAGCTGTTACCAGAGGCGCACCTCGAACCACAGGAGTCTCCAACGATTGCTCTAGGATTGCTAAACCATCCTCCTCTTCCTCCCCACCTTCCTCTGCCTCATCGTGGGGTCTGTCGGGACGTGTTGGCGTTAGAGTGTTGATGCACCGTGACCTGATCACGTGCCGATACTTCCGATCCCTGCCTCGATCTTGGCTGAAAAAATACTGGGGTCGACTCGGACAGGCGTCGAACAAACATCCGCCTGCCGCCTCGTCCTTCTCGCCCTCTGCTCCTCATCACTGGTCATCTTCTCCTTTCTCTCTCTCCTCTCCTCGTTTCTCCTCACGTTCCTCCTCCTTATCTTCCCATTTCCTCCGTTCACCTGTCTCTCGTCTTTCCTCCCCAGCACTAAAAGACCGGGACAGAGAGCGGGAGCAGTCGGGCTCAGCCTCATCGCAGGCCCTGGATGGCCACTCAGGGTTTCTCAGCACCCCAGGCATGACCATTAGTCTGTGGGGACCTAGCACTCAGTCGACTGCCGCCCATACCACCAGTTCCACCGCAGCCTCTGCCTCCAGCCTTGGCCATAGCCTCCGTCACCACAATAGCTCAGGGTGAGTATCTCTGCCTTGAAAGTTAGACCTTTTTAGGCCTTTTTGGTTCTGAAATTTCTATCGTAACTAGTTTCCTTCTAAAAAGATTGCTCTTAAATGACAGGATTCGTTTTTTTTAACTTTTGCTAGAAGTTAAAAAACCACCACAAATCTTTCTCTCAAATCTATATTTCTGTAGATGTTTACAGGAGCTCGTGTATGTTAATGCTGGATATTTTTGGCTTCTTTGCTGCTGAAATACTATTTTCTGTATGCCATCTTAAGATGTGTATTTATAGCTGACATATCAAGGGAAGCTGTCTCTTCTAATGTAACAGCCTTTTGATACAGTATCAAGACAGTTCTCAGAAGTGGACTACTTTACTTCTGCATTGCTAAGAAAAGTGTGTTGGGAAGGCAGTGGGAGAGAGAGAGAGACAAACGCATAGGGAAGATGTAAACGGGAGCACAAGTAGGAAAGAAACTGTGTGTCACTGGTACTGTGGATCTGTAAATGCATATATTTATTTAGTGGGCTAGTGGAATTAAATTTGTCTCAGTGTCAGCATGTATGCCACCTTGGACCTCTGGTTGTTGTCCCTCAGGTCCCTCCCCGGGGAGATGGATGAGAACGATGCTCTCCGCTCCAAACGCTGCAACGAAGATGCCATTTCCCTCGCTCCCTCCACCACTGAGTCCCTCGTCATTGTCGAAGGTGAGTTGGCTGACTGGGGGTGGAGGCTGAACTTTAATTTCAACAGTTCCACTCTTGGTAGAGGTTTTTTCCTGAAGGGCAATTGTTATGGTGGTAACTATACCTTTTTCTCAGCCCGCCCAGTTCTCTCAAATCTATGCGTTTTATTTTTTTCTCAACCATCTCTGAGCTTAATCTCCTTCCGTAGGTGGGCACTCTGAGGTGTACAGTGCATTTTGCTCTCATGACTGCATTACAGTTGATCTCGTGCGCACAGAAAAACAAAGACAGTATGGACAAATTGTATTGTTGAGTACCAGATTACTGGCCTTGTCACTATCTCCATTTATCATTTTCAGCACTGCCAAAACACAGAAAGGCGAGACATTAAGTCAGCAGTGAACTATTTTTAAACTCGGATGCTTCACAAGAAGTAATTAGTGACCTTTTCTTCTGGAATCATCTCTTGAAAATCACTGTTGATCATTTTTTAATTATGTAAAATGTAGAGAATTCTGTTAGTCATCTTAGGACTTGAGGTACCTTTTGTCCTTTTTGAGGAAACAAGATCTTTTCATTTTGGGTCATGAGATATTTGGAGAGTTGGTGTCATCTTAGTGATGATGAGACAGAGCTTCAGCTGCACAATCCAGACTGTTCTTCCAGGGGAGCCATTCTGTTGACCTTTACCTCTGACCTTCCTGACATGGGCCCCTAAGATCAGTTGCGTGCCATAATGTTTCGTTTTGTATTACAGGGTGTCCGCGGGGTCTTAAAAAGTCTTAATCGCCATTTAACAAGGTATTAAATTTTGTAGATATTTAAGTCAATGTGAAAATCCTGTTTGTCCAAAGATGAACGTACTATTTATAATGCATAGCCAAAAACACTAGACAGGCAGTGAGTGGCGACTATGTGATTCCTGTCTGTAACGTTAGGTGCAGCGATCTTCCGAGCGCCTATTTGACTCTTAAAAGCTCCAATAAATAGATCCATGCGAACCGGAAAAAGATTTACGTATACAACCGACCCTAATTTCCCACCCTGCCAGACCCACAATGTTAATCGTCCAAAACATAGTCGGAGTGGCGATCAGGAGTAACGGGCTTAACCCGGTTGGCCGGTCGCTCTGTGGCCACTTTGAACAGCCCCGTTCCTGAGAAACAAGAGCGAGATGCGCCGCCAGCAGCGGAATCGGTAAGACAGAAGACAACAGGGAAAATTAAAGGAGCGTGTGGGTTTGGCTAACGTTAGCCGCCAATTTAGCTAAATCAGTGCCTTTTATTAAAACACATTCAACTTTTCATAAAGCCGATGCTCTCGTCAGTGTCACTTTGTGAACAGATCAGTCACAGCCTGGATAGAGGGTGCTGCAACAAACTTTATAAATGTTGAACTCATTGTTCTGCATAAACGGTTATGATTATTGGCGAGTTAGTAGCCTGCCCAAAATCAAGGTTGGAGACTATCATGTAGCCTAGAGCATTTTTCTTGCACAAAGTTAATGAATAAAAAACAACCCCAAACTGAAACAGCTGTAATTTGAATTAATATTAAACTAGTGTAAGTTATATACTATTATATGAAATTATATTGAATATAGTAACATAATGAATATATTAATATCAAACTTAAAGTTTACTATTACATTAACAATATACTTTTAATTTAATGTTATAATATTAGGCTATACTAATAAAGTCATTTAGACTAGTTCCTCCTCCAGGTTGTGTCTGTGCTACACCGCCTACACTACTTACGTTATTCATCACTCAATTTATTCTCTTCATCTATGTTCCCTCCTAGCCTATTTAAAATTTGTTGTATTGATCAAGTGGTCAATTAAAGTTATCACACGTATCATTGCAGGCAAGCTCACATTATCTAGTTTAAACCAACTAAAACACAAAATTGCACTGTTTCACATGGTTTGATGTAATGTTGCTTACATAAACGTCATAGCTTATGTAAGACGGTGGCTTTTCGCAGGAAATCTGACCAGTCCTTCACATAGAAAACTGTTGGCCCATACAGGCTGTTATAGGCAACTGAGAAAGTTGGTGAATGCCTCAATTTTTAGGTGGCGTTACAACCTGATGACATATAGGCAATAAATATGTTATAAATATATTTAAATTCCTTTTAAAAACTCAAAAATGTCCCTTTTAAAGGTGTGTGGCCGATTTAATCAGTTAGCTCAAAGTGGCGCGGCAGTCTTAAGATCTGTTGAAAAAGTCTTGAAAAGGTCTTATAAAGGTATTGAATTTTACTTCAAGATTCCTGTATATACCTATATACCCACGTATCATTGCAGGCAAGCTCACATTATCTAGTTTAAACCAACTAAAACACAAAATTGCACTGTTTCACATGGTTTGATGTAATGTTGCTTACATAAACGTCATAGCTTATGTAAGACGGTGGCTTTTCGTAGGAAATCTGACCAGTCCTTCACATAGAAAACTGTTGGCCCATACAGGCTGTTATAGGCAACTGAGAAAGTTGGTGAATGCCTTAATTTTTAGGTGGCGTTACAACCTGATGACATATAGGCAATAAATATGTTATAAATATATTTAAATTCCTGTTAAAAACTCAAAAATGTCCCTTTTAAAGGTGTGTGGCTGATTTAATCAGTTAGCTCAAAGTGGCGCGGCAGTCTTAAGATCTGTTGAAAAACTCTTGAAAAGGTCTTATAAAGGTATTGAATTTTACTTCAAGATTCCTGTATAATACCCTGTATTGAAACGGTGTAATGAAACATAGTTTTTGATGCCTCTGCTCCTCTCCTCAGATGCTCACTATGCAGCCGTGCGGGCTGATCTGGAGTCTGATGCCCAGGATCTGGAGGCAGAGTCGTGGAGTTCGGCAGTTGACCAGCATTATGTTAAGACGTACTCCAAAGAAATGGTGAAGAGACAGGATGTCATATATGGTAAGTGTGATCTCTTAAATCATGTTCACACCTGTACCTGTCCAATCAAGGAGTCACCTATCCTGTGGATTGACACGTAGCTCATTGATTGGATAGTTTTGGTAAAATGTCATCCTGGCTCACCAGTGAGGCGGGGGAATAAAAAAAAAAAAAAAAGTCAGGACAGGAATTCTTCTTTTAAAAGAGTACTCCACTGATTTAGCATTCGCTATGCACAGAGCTGATGCAGACGGAGATGCACCATGTGCGAACACTGAAGATAATGCTGCGCGTGTACGTCCGGGAGCTAAAGGAGAACCTCCAGATGGACTCGGGCAGGCTGGACTGTCTGTTCCCCCGCTTGGAAAACCTTCTCGAGCTTCACACACATTTCCTGTCTCGTCTCAAAGAGCGGAGGCGAGAAAACCTTGTGTTGCCCAGCGACAGGAACTACACTATCAACAGGGTGGCAGACATTCTTATCACGCAGGTAGGGAGACGATACTTAGCATGCCAAACAAGAACATACAGCCGTACAAATGCTCCGCATTGATTTCTTGAATACATCACATAATGGAGTTACACACGCACAATCTATGATAAGACATGCAGAAGACATGTGTCAGCAAACAAACAGACTGAAAAAACAGAAAAGTGAGCCGCCTGGGTGACCGTTTTCTTTGTTCTCCAGTTCTCGGGTGAAATAGGAGAGAGGATGAAGGACAGTTATGGAGTTTTCTGCAGTCACCACACTGAGGCTGTCAGTTACTACAAAGAGCAGCTGCAAAACAACAAAAAGTTCCAAAACATCATACGGGTAAGACACATTAGCAGCCTTCTGATTGTGGATATCAGATTTACTTCTTAAATCTCTTAAATCTTAAATCCACCTGGAGTCTGATGAAACTTAAATTAAATATTATTTTCTTCTCAGAAAATCAACAACCTGTCCATTGTGCGGAGATTAGGTGTGACTGAGTGTATTCTGTTGGTGACACAGCGCATTACCAAGTACCCAGTACTAGTGGAGCGCATTCTGCACAACACTGAAGGTCCAGCATTTCACAAGCATTTTCCTGCTACTACTGAAGAGAGTGCACTCAGATGTTTAGTGAGAAATAAGTCATTATAGTTTCATTTTGCTGGATCTATAAAGTTTTTGTTTTTTTTTCTTTACTGGCTCTAGCGGGTACAGAGGAGCATGAGGATCTGACTCGGGCGCTGGGCCTGATCAAAGACACCATCGTTCAGGTTGACGCGCTTGTTAATCTCCACGAGAAGAACTCTCGACTCCGAGACATACACAACAAGATGGAGCCAAAGGCGCTGGGAAAAATCAAAGATGGCAGAGTGTTCCGCAGGGAGGACCTGGCACAGGGCAGGAGACGGCTGCTGCACGAGGGCACAGTCAACTGGAAAGCTGCTTCTGGCCGGCTGAAAGGCACGAGAAAAGAATTTTCTGATCTGCTATCTAGTAGTGTGCACATACTAATGAATGAATAAATGCACACAAAAAAAGAAATTCACTTGTCTAGTCTGTTATCATGAAGTCAAAAGGTGTGATTTGTCCTTTTTGTCCTTCCAGATATTCTTGCAGTGCTCCTGTCAGACGTGTTGCTGTTGATTCAAGAGAAGGATCAGAGATATGTATTTGCTACAGTGGTGAGCGATTCTACTTTATGACACTATCTAACAAAAACATGTTTATCAAAGAGTAATGCGCTGGAATAATTTAGTCTGTGACAGATGTATGACATTGTCACTCATCGACTTTTACTACCTCAAGTACCAGTTATCAAAGAGCACCGCCTCATGTCTCTTTCCTCCTCCTTATTGTTCTCCACCCAGGATAACAAGCCGTCAGTGATCTCTCTTCAGAAGCTGATTGTCAGGGAAGTGGCCCATGAGGAGAAAGCCATGTTTCTCATCTGTGCTTCCTCCAATGAGCCAGAAATGTACGAGATCCACACCACCTCCAAGGAGGAGCGGAACAGTTGGATGGCACACATACGGCAAGCTGTTGAGAGGTAGCTGCATTGTCAGAGAGAGAAAATACACAGCCGTTTATTACCATTAGTTACATTTTGAATGTTTTTCAGGGGGGAATAAAATGAAAATTAATTGGAGTCCTTGCACAGTCTGCTTTCTCTGTCTCCCCACCTGTAATGGCTTCTGTCCTGTCCCCTCGTAGTTGTCCTCATACAGAAGAGAGGCTGTTCAGCGAGGAGGAAGAGACACGAGCTTTCAGGTTCAAAGAATTTCAAGGTAACTGCAGATCAAGTAAACAATGACATACATTAAGAAATCCCCTGTAATAAAGTGGGCCACAAGGAGGTGCTCATACATCAAATTAACCTTATCATTGTTTACCTTATCACTGTTGACTTCTCCTTTTTCTCAACATCTCTTCTCAGTAGACCGCAACTGTTTTAGGACACAGATTTTATCCCTTGTAGCAGAATCTGTTTAAAACATCTATGAATATTTGGGTGTGCTAAAGAACAATTGTTGCTGTATTGAGGCATAAGAAGTGAGCATGTAACAGAGCCTGCACCCCTCTCCATTGTTTAAGGAATGAAGTCCTCTCTTACTCCATTTTGTGTTTTTCCATTGTAGAACGGCTGAGCCAGAAGGATGCAATGGTTGTCCAGGCTCTCACTGAGAAGCTGCAGCTGTTTGCGGACATGGCGGAGTCTGTGGCAGGTCTAGAGGACAAAGCATCACATTCCAGACTTTTGCTTCGAGGAGACGCCTCAGACCTCCAGCAGGGGGAGGCCCTGCTCAAAGGAGCAATCACTGAGGGTAGGGGACAAGGCCGCGTGATATGTGAATCTACTTTAGATACAGAGGCATGGAACTGTGGCATTGTGTGAATTTTATACATACATTTTGTCAATTTTATATTCATGTACTGCATGTTTCAACCTTCATTTGCTATCACTTTCACTTCAGTGGAGAACCTCCAGAACCTACTGCAGTCCGGAGTGAGGGAGGAGGCTCCGATGCCACGGCTGGAGGAAGGGTGCGGCTCTGGGATTCTGCCCAGGAGAGCGGATACCTTTGGGGGCTATGACAGCAGCCCCACCATCCTCAGTAAGAGTGAGTCCAGCACACTCACCGCCCTGAGGAAGTCGACTATCTGATGGATTTGCAGTTATATTTCGGTTGCATTGACACCACTAATAAATTATGAATTGATTCGTTGAATTTGTTTTATTAATAGAATTTCTGTGCATGGTTTTTAATAACAAAATCTGTTTGACAACGCCAGCAAGCTAAAAAAATGAAAAAGCTTTTGTGCGGTTTTACATCTATTTGTGTTTTAGTGATTGTTAGTATTTCCATGTATCTGTTTGGTTTAATTATTTGTGTACGTTTTGTCACTGTGTCTGTGTGTGTGTGTTATTGTTTCTGTGCCAGATGGCAGTGTGAAGAAGAACTTTTCTGCTGAGTCCAGAAACAGAAGCCAGAGAGCCAGCTCTGACCCTCAGCTCAAAGACCTCTGTGGCAGCCACACCCTGGAGCAGACGGTAGGGGCCCAACACACACTCACACATACATTGTATCTTGGGATTAGACACAGTGTTATTTCCTGTAAATAGTAATAACCAGACCAAGTCATCTGGAAAGTTTCCATGTCCTTATGTTTACTGTGACGCTGTTCTCACAGGTCACTTCATTGTTTATAAATAGATAAAGCCTTGATTAAACAATATACTCAGTGATTTGCCTTCCAGTAAGTCCTGGTCCTTGAACAGGCAAATAAAAAAAAAAAGACTTATTACTGAGGATATCTGATTTACAGTACTGTGGTTCATACTGACCTTGCAGAATTTGTAGTCCTACAAATGTATTTTAAATGAAGTGTGTGTGTGTATATATATATATATATATATATTACATTACACATTTTGTATGTCTTTACTATACTAAACTGTGTTTGTATTGCCTGTTTGTAATACTCATACTCATCTCTAATGCTGCTCAGCTCTCATATCACGGCAGTAAAAACAGGTTTCTTACCATACAGAATGGTAAAAGCTTGATATTTTTCACCACTATGGCTAATAACAGCAGCTCAGTGGAATCTCTTTTGGATGTTAGTGTGTAGGATGGACATAAATGATGAATGCATCATTCGTGCATAGTGTCTGTTAATTCTGAATTATGTATCATAGAATTTTTTTTGTTTTAAATCACATACTACTACAACAAATACCAATTGTTTTCACAGCATCTATATTGTATTGCATAAATTGTATAGCAGTACTGAACAGCACTCGCAGTGTGTTTGTGATATTATTTTATTAATATGACGTGCTGTGTGTCCGACCGTTGTTGCTCAGGTTGATGAGAGCTGCTGCTCTCCTGCCAGATGGAACCACATCTGGTCTGGCTCCTTCCCCGAGGCTGAGGTAAACTCTCCTTCTCTCATCTTTCACCTTGTGCTACACAACACTGCTGGGTTTGATATTCATAGCCATGCCCGCTGAACTGAAAAGATGTACCCTAGAGAAGTTTGTCAATCCAATGAAATGTTGTACTGTTTTGGTGTTGTTGGGTGTTTATTTCATTATAATAACGTTGCCGTTGTCTCTATCCTAGTTCTTTGACAGAGTGCTGATGCTCTCCCAAAGGCTCTATAGTCTGCAGGTAATACTATCCCATCCAGTGTTTATGAAAATGGTAAGAAATGCGGTCAGTGATTGAAATATGGTGCATTTTCTGTATGTTTGCAGATTAATTGTTTAATTTATTTAATGTTTGTGTTTGCTCACTTAAACTTGATAACTTTTATAAGAAATGTGTTTCACTGTAATAGTAAATAAACATTGTCACAAAATTCAAATATGTTACCTAATGACCTTCTGTTATTTTTCTCCTGTCTCCATCTTCAGGCCATCATATCACAGCAGGACAGTCAGATTGAGCTCCAACGGGCCTCATTGACAGAGCGGGCCTCCCTGCCCGGCCGCCACAGAGGGAACGTGCTCCTGGAGCAGGAGAAACAGCGCACTCTGGCCCTGCAGAGAGAAGAGCTGGCCAGCTTCCACAAGCTGCAGTCTCAGCACCGGCAGGAGCAGCAGCGCTGGGAGAGGGAGAGGGAGAGGCACCGCCAGCAAGTCGAGGCTACAGAGGCCAGGCTCCGACAGAGGGAGGAGGAGTGCAGACGGCTGGAGGTGAAGTGCTTTGTCCTACCTGAGGGCTGTGGAACAGATTTTAATGGCAAAAGATATGTGCGAAAGGCAGAATATCATGACCTTGCAGCTCAAAAATAAACTGTTCCCAAAGTCTACCAGTTGGTATGACCTGTACAATCTAATTGTTTTAGAAACTTTTTGTAGTTCTTTCCAAGTCCATGTCTCAGTTCAGTGTGGTTTAAACAAAGACAAAAAAAACCATATAGGATATATTTTAAAAATGTCAATATTGCACACATACTTTGCAACTTGAAACAATGCTCATTCTTTTGATGCAGGAGCAACTGGCAGAAGAGAGGAAGGAGCTGGAGAGTCAGAGGGAGACGTACCAGCAGGACCTGGAGAGGCTGAGAGAGTCCACCAGAGCTGTGGAGAAAGAAAAGGAACGCCTGGAACACCAGAAGAAGATCAAACGGAAGACTATTGAGGTGAGGAATTTCTAAATTAAATATGGTCTTCTTGCAGAGACAATATGGATGTAGTCCAAAAATGGATGTGGACTCTTAGAACAGCCACGAACGCTGTTCTCTTTATACTACCTTGGTGTGTCTGCATACACGGATGTGTTCACACATTTGTCATTGCATACAGTCACATGCCTTTGATGTGAGAGACCCGGGTTCGAATCCACTGTGAGACACCAGTGTGAGCCCTGAGCAAGACACTTAACCCCTAGTTGCTCCAGAGGCATTCAACCTGCGACACAAATAGCAATATACACGTGTGTGTAAAAGTGGCAAAGGAGGACATGGGTGAGGTGCTGGGTGACAGTGAGGTGAAGAGTTAATACCAGGAAAAATGTTAGGGATGCACCGAATGTTCGGTCCACCAAAATTAATCGGCCAAAAATGGCAAAAAAGAACTTTCAGCATTCGGCCTAAGAAGTCAAAATACTGAACGAATTTTACCAAACAATTACGTTAACATGTCGGCAGTGTGGAAGTGTCTGAGAAAGACACAAAATCACCGTTTGCAGACACTGTTCTGCTGAATTGTCTCCTAGCACATCCACTCCATCTGTGGCTGACTTCTTAGAAGGCAACAAACGGTCTGACCCGCTTTGAGTGTTTCTGTCACCCGTTTCTGAGACGCTTGCCACACCTAAATTTGGAGTGCACACGTATTCGAGCCTTTATGGTAACTGAAACGGACCAGAGCGAGCTGACACGATATATATGATACGAGAACCACATACAACATTATTTAACAAATTGGGTCAGACTTGATGAATTTGGCGCAAGGATACACATGTGACAATGTCCAGTTTTCAAAATAAGGGGTCTATACAGTATGGAAATGAGATTAATTGGATTATATTCACAGAAAGTATAAAACATATTACATGTGTACATTAAAAGTAAATGGACACATGTAATTTACTTTACCGGACCTTCTTGGGCCTCAGAACCACCCACTATAGTCTCTCCAAATCCTGTGGGAAACAGTAAGTAAAAAGCACATTTTGACTATTTATGCAATGGTAAAAAAAATTGCCAAAAATGTGAATGTACTTGTTTGGTGTTCGGTATTCTGCAAATCTTTTCATTATATTCGGCTTTGGCCAAGAATTTTCATTTCAGTGCATTCCTAAAAATGTTGTTGGTGATGCTTACTCACTTTCCCGTCTCTCATGCTTTTTGTTGCACCAATTTTCCAAACCTGTCCCTACCATGACTCTCTTTTTTTCCCCTTCTAAGATACTTAAGAATCTGAAACACTGAAGAGCCAAATACATGGATCAAGGAACTGAAGGAACTTTATTATTTGTAGAAAAGAAGCATCAGTTTCAGCTCCCACATCCTGTTTCATAGATGCTGTAATGGTAAACAGACATAAATACATATCTAACTAGCCAACTCAGGAATCCACCTACGCAGGGAGCAGTCTTTCTCTTTACCTCTTTTTCTGTCCTCCTCCCTGTGTTTCTTACCTGTATCCCTCATTCTCTCCTTGCAGACAATGTGGGCCATTGTTTGTGAGTTTCATGGGAGAGGAGCTTTGAGCAAGATCCACTGACTGTAATTTCATTCCCGGTGCTAACAGATCTGTGAGGGAGCTACACTAAAGTTACTTAATGTCAACCTTTATTGTGTTCAAAGGCCCAGTTTGGTTGATTGATATTCTCTGTGACAAGCTGAGAACAGGGTAACTGTAGCATGGGAAGTTTCATCTTGATACAGACTTAAACTCTTATCGCATCAAGATGATACAGACTAACGTGACAGTTTTGGTGTCCTTACTTCAGGTGGCGACATGGATTAAAAACTCTATCACAGTTTATGTAACTTTAACTGTAAATTCTAACAGTAAATCATGGGAAAACAATTTCTGGAAAATCAGCAAAAAGAAATTGGGATTGACTAACACCAGTAATTTAAGTTTCTGGTTAATACAGAAAATTAAAGACCTGACAAAAGTCAATAAATAGTCAAAATTGTGATAATATTTTATTGCCAAATCACCTATGCCTAGTTGACAATTTGATATCATCATCTTATGGTAGATATAATCAAATCACACACCCACAAACCTTAAAGTGTTCTTCTCTACTAGAACAGTACCCTCATCAGGTGGGTTGTCACC